CCTCCCTTCCTCCTCGAGCTCCTCGCCCACCTCCGCAGCCGATGACGCTGACGACGACGCGTCGCGGGCAGAGAGGGGTTCCGAGGAGTTGCTCCCGAGGGAGGAAGTCATCCGGCGCCTGCTGGCGCTGCGGCAGCCGGCCACGCTCTTCGGAGAGGATGACGTCACGCGCCTCCGCCTCCCTCAAGGACCTGATCGAGAACCCCGCCGCGCTCGCCGACGTCGACACGGCAGAGATCTGGGGAGGGGCAGACCAACGACTTCCTCCGCGACAACCAGGCGCTCCATGCCAAGGCTGCGGTCGCGACGAAGCCCAAGGCGGCCGGCACGGAGGCCCAGCGTGGGGAGGGCGACGGCGTACCGAGAGATGTGCCGTTCGTGGAGCTCCGCGTCTCTGCGACGAGGAAGATCGCCGCGTTCTTCAGGAGGCTGATGGACGAGTGGACTCAGGAGGTGAACAGTATGCCTAAGCCGGAACGGCGGACGGCAAAAGGGTAGGCCGCGGTAGCCACCTGCAAGCAGTGCGCGCGATACCTCGACCCGCTCTTCAAGCAGTACAAGAAGGAGGTATGGATCATCGAAATGTCTGTAGTACTATCAGTTTGAATGACCAAATGCTTATTGCGAATGTTGGTTGAATGAATCATAGGTTTGTCACCCCATCTCATAGCATGCTTTAATTTGAACTCTTAGTACGATTTTGCTTTACTTTGTTTACAGCACTGAATATTGTTATCTAATGCTTAGTGATAAAGGAAATGTAGGAAGCGTGAATATTATATTGGTAATTAGCGGATTGAGTATGATGTAGTGAACGAATGATGGTTCATGCTATTGTTAATACTCCATGTCCATTTCACATTTAAGATGATCCTATTTTTGTAAAAGGACAGATGTTGTCTACTATACTATATCTGCACCTTACCCAATGATTTAGTGATGCAGTTTCTGATAAATATTAGTTTAAATCTGTATCTGAACTATTTCTTCTATTGACTGAAGATTCTCACAGCAACGAGCAATCGATTTAAGGAATACAACCATACAACGAAGACAACAGAGATATTATTGTTTTGCCTTCTCAAATGTTCAGAGAGGAAATCTTTGTAACATAAGAACGGATCTGTCAACCATCGACGATCAGGTTGCAACTTGTGCTCTAAGTAAGCCTGCTGATTTGTTCACGATCTCCCCTACCTATTGGCGACTATTTTCTCTCAAGATCGTTGTGCAATCAAACTTTTCCTGTGAGATTATTTAGTCATTTCTGAGTATCTGTAATTTTGTTTAGAGTCATTATCACAGCTACTTTCAATCTTGTATGCTTAGAATAATGTTTAACTGGAGGACTACCTTCATCATGTCTTATGTATGTTTGTCGAGTTATTGCAGATCTAAGAACAGGGGCAAATTTAGGTCCATTTATCAGGGTCCATTGACCCGATAAAATCTACAAATTCTTTAGTAAAACACCGTGAGGACTTAGGACTTAATAAAACCCATGTCACGTAATGAAGTTGACCCAGATCACCAGGGTGATGTTCCCGGCTAGATTCGCTCGTCTAAGGAGCCATGGAATGATGTTCGCTTCCTATTAAATTTTTATGTTAGCCAGATAGGTGAACTAGGTTAAGCACTGAAGTTCTAACTATACACTCTGTTTTTGCTTCCTTCTTATTTTTTCCTTCTCTGTAACAAGTTGAGTAAGGTAAATACAGATTCTTAGCAACTCTAGTAGATCTTATGTTCATATGTGCAGACAATCTTGTATCACAGTACTTGTTCATTATTTTGCATCAAATTGCAGGCTCTCCCTCCTGATGTCTGACAAGCATTGCTGGAGGTGGTCAAGTGCTTATGAGACGATACTACTTGGCCGCAGTGGACAACTAAATTTTCAGCGAACAGTATTTTTCTCTCACACAAACCAACAACTCACCATGAACCAATTAACGATGTGACCATGAACAGTTGGTATTTTTCTCTCACAACAAATCAGCCAATAAGATTTTCGAACTCGCTTATCGCGAAAAGATCTACATATATCAGCGATAGGCAACTCACCATGACCAATTGGTGTGACCATGGTTGGTATTCATGAGCGATCTGCTCGCGGAAAGATCTACACGAACAGCGTGGCTCACATCATGAATGATGAGACGACCAGAAAGTACCTGCAGTCTGTGAAGAGGCTCATAACATTCTGCCAGAGGAAGTACCCCACTGATCTGCAGTCTCTCTTGGCGCAGCAAAACGTGAAGCATTCAGAAGAAACGCTTCGGTAGTTCGGTTAGTGGCTGTGTGATGACAGGTTGGATTAGATTTGTGCTCGGAATTCTAGGCAAGTTCGATTCTTGTGGGATTTGTGATTCGAATTAGTACTTACTGTAGGAACCTGAACTGCATCATGCTGTTGTTGGACATTGCTAAACTTTGACCATTTCTCTCTTAATTTTCTCGTATTATTGAACTTTATTGAAACTGGTTTCACAATGGCAGCACTCCGGGTAGCCGCGAGGCAACGCCGCGCGTTGCTTTCTAGTGAGGAATGAAATCAGCATCCTTAATTAGAAAAGGAGTTTCCACGCTCTGACGCTCACACGGCAGGGCTCACACACACCATGAAAGTTCAAAAAGGCAAAATCTTAGTGATCTAATTCAAAGTAAATGTATCGCTTCGCTTACTGTTGAATTTATATTTATTTATTGATGCTGTTTTGTAACTGAGAGAAAAACACTTTGATAAACATGATCACGATACGCATCAAGCTCGACAGGGTGAATATCTTAGTGATCTAATTCAAAGTAAATGTAAACTGGCTACTGTTGAATCATATTTATTTATTGAGTGCGCTACGAGCAACTCGATCTTACAATTTGAAAGGGAGTAGTATATCTATCTCCATGCTGAACGAACAAATAGCATTCCTCCTTGTGTTTGTTTGGGTTTTCAGTGAGAAGCTGCAAAAAAATCTGGCAAAAGATATAAATATAAGTTTATTTTTATGAAACTATTTTTTTTTAAAATGTTTGCTTTTAAAACAATGACCTACTCCCTCCGTCCCAAAATAAGTGACGTTTTCGCTTCCCGAGAAACGACTACCGGCAATTATATATTAAAATATATAAATATTTATGCTAAGTAATTAGTATCATCGAAAAGATCTTTTTGTCTAGTTTTTTAATAAATTTATTTGAAGATGTAAATATTGCACGTATTTTCTACAAATCGAGTCAAACTTGTGGCACGAAAATTCAAAACGTCTTTTATTTTGGGACGGAGTGAGTAACTTTTCAAACTTGCTTCTCAGAGGAAGTCCTTTTTTAATCGATTTCTATTGCTTTAAACAGTACTCCCTCCATCCCACATTATTTGCACGTCCAGGACTGAGCATGCTAACTAAGGTCTATGCAAAATTACAAAAATGCCCCTGTAAATATCAGCCCCCTTCCTCCCGTGACCCGTCCCACCACACGGTCACACTACTCCCTCGCGCTCTCGCCCAGCTTTCTTTTTCTCTGGCCGGCGGCGGCGCGTCGGCTCCGGCCCCCTGACCACCATGGGGCGTCGAGGCCGCCTGCCACCATCGACGTCGGGCCTCACCTCCGTCTTCCATGCCGACGAGGACGAGCTCTTTCCGCCCGCGCGCACCCGCGTTGCCGTGGCTCCCGCCGGCCGGAGCCGAGCCCCTGCATCGAGCGGCAGTCGTGTCTTGCCTGTGCCAGTCGCGTTGCCGTGGCAGCCGGGACGGGGCTCCATCGACCGGAGCTGAGCCCGTGTGGCGGCGTTGCGAGGTCCAGCCACCGCGCGACGGCTGCGCAGAACCCATGCACAGTGGCGGCCTGGCGAGGTCCAGCTGCTGCTCCTGCGCGATGGCGGCACGAAACTCCTGCGTGGTGACGGCGTGGCGTGGCCCAGCCTCTGCGCGACAGCGTAGCAGAGCCCACCCGTGGCGGTGGCGTCTCCACGCGACGCCGCCGCATCCTGTGCCTCCACGCGTGGGCCGGGGTTGCGCTGCCAACCACGCGCGAAGGAGGAGGACTAGATGGGGACTGGGGAGGAGCTGCGGGAGAGGAGCTCTGTATGAGGTGGTGATTCGGATTGGATTTGCGGTAGCAGGTGCGGCGAGCCGGCGACGACGACGCATAACCAAAGTGAGCATCGGTGCGGAACGTGCGAGGGAAACGAGTGGACGGGAGCTTCTGGAGCCTCCCACGTTTTTCTTTTCTTTTTTTTCACAAGTTGTTTTGATATTTTCTTGGGCCCACACACAACTAAACTTGTGGCTGGTAACGCCTCTGCACTGCGACACGTACGGAACAGTAGATGCGGTTCTCTATGGATGCATGATAATTTGGGACAAAATTCAAATGGCAGATGTGTAAATATTATGGGACGGAGGGAGTACGCTCTCCTACGTGTCATGTGAATGTGATGAAAAAGAAAAGTAAAAAGAAATAATAGAATAGAAGACAGCGACAGAGCACTCGAAGCCTCACGTGCACGTCGCCCCGCCCGCCAGCACCTGCGCCGGCCGCCCGGCGACCAACCCTCGCGTCCCCACGCCGCCGCCGCCGACACAGTATTCCAGCTCTACGCTGACACACTCACATCCTCCCACGCGCAGCAATCGCGGCTCCCCGCCCACCTCACGTAAGCTGCTCTGCTTCACCGATCCGGAGGCGGACGCAGCGCCGTCCGTGACTCTCCGCGCCGGGCCAGTACCCGCGCGCCCGCTTGACCCCCGTCGGCATGTCGCGCCGCGCGTGACCGGTGCTTGGAGCTGGAGAGCGTCATCGCGGACCGTGCCAGGTCGGGGAGCCTCGGCCTCAACGACGCGCTCGAGCTGTTCGAGGAATTGCTGCTCCACGCCAGGCCTGCCTCGGTTCGTGCCTTCAACCACCTGCTTAACGTTTTCGCTCGCGCCCGATGCTCTTCAACCTCCGAGCTTGGTCAGTTGCTCAAGGGCCTATGTGATGCCAAGAGGGTGGACGAGGCCATGGACATATTGTTCCGAAGAATGCCGGAGTTTGGCTGCACACCAGATGTAGTTTCCTGCAGCACGCTTCTCAAGGGTTTATGCAATGAAAAGAGAGACGAGGAGGCACTTGAGCTGCTGCACACGATGGCTGATGATGGAGATGGAAGCTGCACACCAGATGTTGTGACATACAGCACCGTTATCAACGGTTTGTTTGGCGAGGGTCGGGTGGAAAAAGCTTACAACCTGTTTCTTAAAATGCTGGATGGGGGAATTTCGCCAAATGTTGTGACATACAACACGATAATTGATGGCCTGTGCAAAACTCAAGCAGTTGACAGGGCCGAGGGTGTCCTTCAGCAGATGATTGATAAAGGTGTTAAGCCGAACATCTGGACATATACTTGTCTGATCCATGGGTACCTCTCTGCAGGACAGTGGAAAAAGGTGGTTCGAAGGCTCGAAGAAATGTACACATGTGGTCTTCATCCAGATGTTGTTACTTATGGTTTGCTGCTGGATTATCTATGCAAGAATGGAAAATGCTCAGAGGCTAGGAAGATTTTTGATTCCATGTTTAGGAAGGGCATAAAACCTAATGTAACTATCTATGCATTCTTATTCACGGGTATGCTGCTAAAGGAGCCCTTGCTGATTTGCCTGATCTCCTAGATCTGATGGTAGCAAATGGTATTTCACCTGATCATTACATCTTTAACATAGTGTTTTGTGCCTACGCTAGAAAGGCAATGATAGATGAGGCAATGCATATATTTAGAAAAATGAGGCAGCATGGGTTGAGTCCTGATGTAGTCAATTATGGAACATTAATAGATGCACTTTACAAGTTGAGAAGAGTGGATGATGCCGTGCTTAAATTCAATGAGATGATCAACGAAGGGGTGACTCCAAACATTGTTGTTTTTAGCTCGCTGGTTTATGGACTCTGTACTGTAGACAAATGGGAGAAGGCAGAGGAATTAACTTTTGAAATGTGGGATCAAGGAGTCCGTCCTAACGTTGTGTTCTTCACCACCATAATGTGTAACTTACGCAAAGAAGGACAGGTGATGGAAGCCCAAAGTGTCATTGACTTCATGGAGCGTGTGGGCGTGAGACCTGATGTTATCTCATATACTACATTAATAGGTGGCCACTACTTAGCTGGTAGAACTGATGAAGCGGCAAAGTTACTTGATGTTATGCTCTCAGTTGGCTTGAAACCGGACATTTTATGCTATGATACATTGCATCATGGCTACTGTAAAGCTGGCAGGATAGACAATGCATATTGTCTTTTCCGAGAAATATTGAGGAAGGGAGTTACGCCTGGAGCTGTGACTTACAGTACTATACTGCAAGACTGGGAGATTTTTTGAAGCAAAGCAAACACATTCCTTCTTCCTTCATAAATTTCTTGTTTTTGTCAAAAAAAAAAACAATTTAGTCGGGACTCTCCTTATACGACAACCGTGATTCTGTGGTAGAGTCACGGCAGGTACATAATCACCCAATACATGAAAGATATGTAGTTTTTTTTCATCTACTTCTAAATTTATGTTATTCACGTCTGTTAATAGTTGTGCATATGCACACATATCGTGAATTCACAACAGGAGACAGGCATCCTAAGGCGCCCTCCTCCGTTGATCATTTAACAGTGATGGGCATCCTTAGTCAGCCGCCTCCGTCAATGATTAATAGAGACAGTCTCCTTAAGGTGCCTACCTCTATTAATGACAGTAAGTCTATAAATACAGCCCAACCACACCATCTTCTTCCATGAGCTTACCCATTTATTTTGATAGGGTGAACATATCTATTTCTTCTAAAAAAACTCTATTTTTCAAGGAGGGAGGTTTTGATCTTGGTTTCTTTGAGGGAGGTGACCGTAGGAGCTTGATATCTGCCCTCATATCCTATTTTTGTGCTCCTTTTCAAGTTTTTTATGCTTTTGCGGTGGTCTAGATCTAATTCTAATGGCGGGAGGAGAGAGAAAGAGAAGATATTTATGGTGCTAATTCTAATGGTGAGAGGAGAGAAAAAAAAAATGTCGCACTAGCGGTGATGGACAAGACATCTCCGCCGGATCAAACCCAAGTGTGGTGGTGATGGATAAGACATCACCGCTAGGATAGCACGCTAGACCGACGTTGATATATCCATCAACACCGTCGGATCAAACGCCGACCGGCTGTGCTGGTACCTACATCTCCGCTGGATCAAACCCAAGCGTGGTGGTGATGGACAAGACATCACCGTTGGATAGTACGCTAGACCGACGTTGATATCGCCATCAACACCGTCGGATCAAATGTCAACCGGCTGTGCTGGTACCTACATCAATGTCAGATCATAAGCCAAATCAATCAACACCGTCGGATCAAACGCCGACTGGCTGTGCTGGTGCCTACATCAACGTCGGATCATAAGCCAGACTAACGTTGATGTCTTGTTCATCACCGCCGGATGGTACACCCAACCGTCGTTGATGTCTCCATCATCACCATCGGATCGTTTGCCAAACCAGTGGTGGTATTCAACTGATTGCCGCCAGATTGAACTATGACGCGGTGGTGATGGTGAAGACAGCACCACCGTATTGAAAGTTGATCGGTGGTGATGAACAATACCACCACCGGTTTCGAACCGGCGGTGATAACCGAGGCTATCACCAACGACGGCCATAACCAGCAGTGAAGGGGGGTTTAGAATTGACGGCGATGAACTTTCTGTAGTAGTGCAACTATCTATCCTAAACCCAATCACGGACTGAATTACTGCGTCTCGACTAGTGAAAACAAAACCCTATCATATACCTTTGCCTTCGGGCTTGTTTCCACCTCTTTATGTTCTTCAAGTGTGAGCTTGCTCCATTTGGATTGATCACCCTTCATCCATCTCCATGCCTTGCTCACCATCTTGATGTGGACCTGACCTAGCTTAATCAACACTCAGCAAAACGTTACTCCACTAGTTGTCTCAATTACTAAAACCAAACATGGAGCTTTCACCACAATGCAATCCTCCCTGTCCTTGGCCTCTACCCGCTTGCCCTATGATCAAGGAGTGAGAACATGAGAGACAGCGATGGAAAAGTGTGAATTCAAAGAAGTTGAATTCGAAGATACCTCAACTCATTGGATCCTCCTCCACCTCACCGGATCCATGCCCCCCTTGTCGATCCTCTGTAGTGTCGCTGGATCCGCACTTTACCTCATTGTACGGTGGCCTTGGGGTTCGACCCACGCTTGGTTCCCACTGCCGACGGCACTGGCCACATGCACGATCACCCTCTATGCCCTAGTGCCACACAAGTCACCTACTCCACGGCCACAGCTCCGCATAGCTCGAGATCCACTTCCACTCTAGCCGACGAGGAGAGAGAGGGAGGGGCGGGTGATGGAGAGTCGGTGTCTGCAGGAGGGTGAGGAAGGAGACAATTTTTGTGTGAGGGAGAGCGAGAGAGAAGAGGGAGATGTGGGCTTTGTGTAAGGGGAGTAAGAGGGACAAAGAGGTGTGGTGAATGGGTGAGAAGAAAGAGGGAGAGCAGTCTACAGCGTTGGTGAGGAGGGTTAGGGTTATTAGTGGGCCAACATGTTTCTAGAAGAGGGGGGGAGGGGTAAAGAGGCCCGCCCTATTTTTAGAACCGTGCCTCTTTAAGTTCCTACATCTAATAATATGTTAGGAAAGTTGATGAAGTGTTTGATGGGCTTCTTGACGCCTCTCAGGAGGACTTTCTAAATCCCTAAACTAATATTGGACACGTAAAGACCTAATGTTAAAAGGTTGCTATAATAATAACTACCAAAGCTTCTCTCGTATTTTTATATACGGGTCTATCCCACCTAAAATGGAATCCCATAGAAATGGGTAGAGAACACCTCATTCCACTACCCTCACGTTACCGTATTTTTATGCGAATACGGAGACGGGCAGGATAAATGTAGAAAACAGAATGGGATGGGACATGACAGGAATTATCTCATCTGTTTTCATTCATAGATGCGTATGTAATTTATAAGTTATGTATAAGCAGTTAAGTTGGTGATCATAATATATAGTCTAAGTTTAAGACCCTGATTATGCGTTGCATCAATGTTTATACTAAGATGAGAACTATAAGGTTGATAATGGAAAAGAATGTACACATTTTCATAATACACATATGTACGTATTTCCATATATAATGCACAACTGTTTTCATTTGACTTGCTCATCCCTACCTATTTGCTCTTCAATTTGCTATTCCTTCCGCCCCATTAAAAGAAAGTGTCATTATAACTTTAATTTTTTGTCCTATATATAAAGAGTATCATTAAAGACACACATACGGATTCCATCTAGGTATTTATTTGCTTATCCAACACACAAAGGAAAGACACCACAGCTCAACTTTTTAAGAGAAGGGATATTTAGTCATCCGCCGGTGAAGAAGCGACCATGGCGACCAAGTATCCGTCAAGAGAGGGCCATCACGCTCTCGGTAGCAAAGCATCTACCAGAGAGGGGACTGAAGAGCCAACGACGGCAAAGCATTCGCCAGGGAGTCCACCGATGACCAAGCATGCGCCGGTGAAGAAGCGAAAATGCATCTGCATTGGGGGACCGGCCATGACATTTTTTTAGCAAAGTATTTGCCAGAGAGGAAACCAACAATAATAGTGGCAAAGTATCCAGCAGAGAATCTAACGATGACCGAGCATCCGTTATGAGAGAAAGCGACAGCGGTAAAGCATTACCCGTAATTTGCCAGCTTTTGATCGAGATCCATGCATGCGTGCCTATCTGTACATTCTACAGCAACAACAATTAATGTTATAGCGGCCTCGGGCCTGCTCGCACCAACGAATTCAGCCACGTTCATTTGGCACCTAGAAACAGAGCATTATTTGAAGAAAGTTCCTTATAAGACCTGGAAACATAATAAATAAATTCGACAGAACTGTTTGCACAGTCACTGAAAAGCATTACCCGATTGAAAATTTTCGAGAGAAGAGAGCAGATCGAGAGAGAAATCTTATTTATTAATCGATAAAATCCATAGTTTATATTGCACCGAATACGACCAAGCAAACACTTTACACGGACGTCGTCAGTACCAAATACTACACCAGACGGTGGCGTCAGAGCGAGAGACACTGAGACACGGCTCCAGATTGTGCCGGCCGATGCATGGGAGATTAACGCGACCAAACAAGTTAGAAATAGAAATAAAAAGTGGATGGTGTTATTTTTAAAATAAAATTTGAAAAATGGTTAAAAAAAAACAAATATTTCTGTTCTGAGATAGTATAAAGAAGCCAAATGACCCCATTTTACAGCCATCGATCAAGATTCAAGACACCATTTCACGTACCAGAAGCATATAATGTCCATTTGACACCAGAAGCATCTGTATCTATTTAACCTAATCAGACAAGCATACATACTCAGTACTCCCCTTCAGGAGTTCAGGTTCTAAAAAAAAAGTCATTTTGGACCAGATTTGGATCAAATACGAGAAATATAAATCATGAATAACTTTTGAGTCGTCAAGTACTACATTGGTCTTCTCAAAGTAAATAAATAATAACTAGTCATTCCTGCCACGCAGAAATTAAGAGGCCGAGCCACACAAATATTCGATCGACAGCTGGGCACGTCACTAGCTATATACTATATATGATAGAATTAGCAGGACGACGGAGTATATACTCGTTGATGATTATCGAGGCAGACAGTAACAGTTGCCATTTTTTTCCTCTCCTTTGACACAACTGTCTTTCCTGCGTTATGACTGGAAAAGTGCGATTTGTTTCGAGCGAAAGAAGGCCAGTCAGTAGCCCAGCTGCCTGCGTCTCCGGCGCGGGCCGAATTGCTGATACCTACCGATTCTACAGCCCACTATGCTAATGGCTATATGTATGTTGATGGGCTGATGGCCATGGCCACGTAATGGATCCCATGCTAATAGCTCAACTGGTAGACATAATAATGACATCCCAGTTTAGCGACCACCGACTAGCATTTGCCTAGTTGGTAATCGTCAAATAAATCATATCCAAACGCCCTTAGCTTTAATCATACGCACATGGCTTATTTAGTTTAGTATAGCGTATTTAGAGCCTTGTTTGATGGGTAGGATTATTTGCTAGCCAATTACTCCTTTAGCCCTAATTCATCCAAAGAGAAAGCTTGTAGAAAGGGTAATTTTTTTAGTCAGTCTCTAACTAGTTGTTAATAGCCAACTAGATGCTAACCTTCCGGACTAATGTTTAGCCTCATGTAATAACTAGTCTTAAGACTTATGAGCTAACTCTAAGCGTATTATTAATATTTTAATAGAACAGAGCCAAAAACTATCTCTCGATCAAGAGAGTTGGTCTCATACACATAT